GTTTCATTTATTATTATTTATAAATAAAATTATTTTGAAGCAACGAACTGCTCATCCCATGAAGCAAATGCAAGCAAATTCCTTATTTATATGTATATATTATATTTTACCTCCAGAACCCAACTGTTGTATTCTATTTCACCGTAAATTATTTATATTGCACTTCTGGCTTTGTGCTAACTGTATTATATGTTATGTGAGTACAGAGCCAATGACAATAAAGTACACTGTAAAAAAAATTCTGTATTTTTTACAAAATAATTTTGGCAGCTGTGGTTGCCAGAATAATTTTGTAAAAAATACAGAAAAACTGTAAACACATTTACGTATAAAACTGTAATTTACAAACAAGAAAATTTGAATGTAAACCAGTAAATTCAACAATTCACACTGCTATTAAAATCTGTTTTGTACCTTTAACATACTGACAACCACCATAATAATGCAGGTGGTAAAAGAGAAAGCCACATGAAGAATCAAAGCTCATCACAAGTAGCTTCGCCACAAGCAGAAGTATATACTAATATATAGAAGGTTCACAGAGTCATTCATGCAAACACAAAACACCATCATGGTAACACACATGATACTTAAATAATGCATTAAACTTTCATTAAACGACAGAAGATGTAACATAAAGCCCAAATATACATAACTAATAACAAAAACTATTTAAAATAACATGATTATTTAAACAAAATACTTTCAAATGTGGAGTGTCATGCAGGGAATTCTGGGAATATCAGTTTACAGGTTTTTTGTTTATTTGTTATTTTTACTTCTAAAAACTGTAAAATTAACAGCATTTTACTGTAAAATTACATGAAATGTCTGGTTAGATATTTTACAGTTTTTCCCTGTATATAGTACGGGAACTTACTGTTAACCTATTAACAGTTTTTTCCCGTAGCGTTTTTACAAAATTTTACAGTTAAAATTACACTTATTTTTTACAGTGTAGGGATGTTACAATGCAAATCGATAAAAAATATGTGGCGATTCAAGTGGGTTGAGAAACGAATCGCGATACAGTTTAGCGTTTATATGAATGTGTCTTAGAGGGGAACTGACTGTCTTCAGAAACACTGCTGTTCCATGAGCGCCACCTGCTGGCAGAGAGTGAATTTGCGTCTCATTCAGCTCGTCTGCTGTTTTTGTTTTGTGTAGTATAGTTTCACAAAGTTTTGTGTTGTTGGGTGGGGGGGGGGGGGGGGGGGATTTGTTTTAAAGTTTAAATTTAGTTTTGTTATTTCACATATTTCAATTTCACAAAGAAATGTGCAGCATTTTGACTGAGAAATAATAAAAGGACGCCTTTTCATTTATAATTTGTCTGAAAACTCATTTTGTTTAAAAAATCGTGCGAAAATTGTATCGTGGAATGTGAGTTGAGTGAATTGTTACATCCCTACAACAATAAACTCTAATCTTCACAGGCTGCCAGTCTGAGGCAGTTGGAAGAGGAGAACCAGGAAGCTGCGGCCCGTCTGGAGGAAGTAGTTTACAGAGGAGACGTGCTGCTGGAGAAGATTCAGTCAGCTCTAGCAGATATCGCCCAATCACAGCTGCGCACACGCAGCGGAGCCCCGAGTCAGCTGGCACCGCCAGAGTCATGACAGCGACTGACGCCAACCAAACATGGACTATATCATCACAGCAGGGATTTTATACTCATCCTTCATGGATCGCAGGAGAGCTTGTGTTAAATGTACAGTTTGTTTCTGGACTGAAGAATGATTCTGATTTCATTCTGTAAGTGCCCACTGTTTCCCATCACATGTCTTGATTATATGACCTCTGACATCCTTTTCTACCTGACAAGCGTAAATGTTCAGCATCCATCAGCCTTTTTCAGACAGTCAGCATCTTGGTAAGTTGTTTTTTGTATTTTTAATGATGTTTTTTTCTTGTTAGGATCATGCGGTGTTCATTTTGTTTTAAAAAAAGAAATTTTGTCTGTGTTTAACAAATAAAAAATGTTGTATGAAGTGCTTGTTATTCTCTGCAAATTGAATTATGAATGTGGTAATTTGTCTCATGCATTGCCATTGTCGAGAGACTATTCTTTAACAGATTTATACACCTAAGAGATCTAAAACCTTGTAGTTTTATTCTTATTTTATCACTCCGTTTATCCAACGAAAATTTTAAAACATGGAATGTTGTAATTGAACAAATGTTTTGGTTGGTTCTGAACCAACTTAAAAACATGTTTGGAAAAAAAATGGAAATATTACCTTTAATATATTAAGCTGTTATAAGAAAGACCAAGTAAATACTTTAAATTTTTTTTTTTTTTTTGCTGTTATAAAGTGAATCACTTTGAGTGCTGCCATCTTCCGGTCATATAAGCAAATTTAATGTGCAGAAACTGATTTTGATATCACTTCTTCGTGGTGATAAAGAACTTAGCTTTTTTATTAACACACATATTTATAAAACAATAATATAATTTATTTTTTTTGTATTTTCATAATTTTCTTTTCCACTACATTATTACTTTGCCGCGAACACGCTGATTAGCGCGTGACGTGTCCGTTCTTCCATCCAATAAGAACGCGTCTTAAGAACGTCAACAAAACAGTATGGCGGCGTTCGTCCAGTTGCAATTTTTTCCTGCAGATTTTTATGAAAACGAGAGTCATTACCGAGGTAAGAGACTACAGAGTATTATTTATACCGTTTAGAACTGTCAAATATTAAGAAAGAAATCCTGACAAACATACTGATAAACATTCAGACTGGAATGGCTGCGCTTAGTGAAGCGAACTGAGATCGTAACATGAAATACGATTAACTGTTAAAACATTTAACGCTGTTTATTCCCAAGCTATAACCATTTAAACATTAGCCAAAACATACATCAACCTTTAGAATGCCAAAAAAATGTTACTTATAAACATTCAATCAGAATACACATCTACTTTTGAATGGTCATCGATGTAGAACCACGTGATGAAGTGGCATAATGTACCAGCAGAGGTTAATTAACGGGTCTATACTAACCAGCCTAACTAGACTACTCAGGCTGTCAGTCAGGTGAAAAACACATAAAATACAGACGAAGGTCATGATGCTTTCTGTACTGTGTCTCACGACTGCCCAGCATTATTGTCATGTGTGTACGTCCCCCAAAACGTCCCATTTTGGTGTCCACATCAAATTAAATTGACAAAAGTGACTTCATATGCATAGAAAGCATATTAAATGCAAGTAAAGTGTCTACTTTAATGTTTCAGATAACTTCTGTCAAAATAGGGGTGAAATAATGTTCCATGGTCATTCAGAGTAACAGATCTATTTATGTAAAAATGAAACAACATATTATTCTGAGCTGTACTGATTAAAATATATACAAGAAGAAGTAATCATACTAAATTTATTATTTTATATTATAATTATTATTTTTTTGGTTCGAAGGATAGTGGTAAAGTTAAAATTACAATTAATTATTTTTGAGGGCTGAACTGTGATTATTAAATAGAGTCTTTTAATGTCATCTAATGATTTTTGTACTAAATATGCCTGACAAGATTTTTTTGGTGTATAAACTATAGTTAGACTGAATTTCATTTTAGTGGGTGTCGTCTGTAAAACATGTTAAAAATGTATGATAGTCATTATTTTTTGCTCAGAAAAAAATACAATTAAACAGTGCACATTCTAATGTATGATTTTTTAAAAAAAAGCTTTATTAAACTTTTATTGTTTTGATGCTTAAAAACCCCTTTTTATCTTTGACCCATATACTGTTTTATGCTAGACTTAATTTCATATTCTGTATGCACTGTAATGCCTAAAAGTTAATTTGTTTTATATAAAAATATATAAAATTAGTAACTGGACCTGTAAGACAAATGCAAAACACAGAAAGAGATCTTCAGACAGAATTTTGTCTCTACCAATAATAAAAAATAATGGCACACTATAAAAGCTATGACCAGTATATGAATACATTGAACACTGACTATAGGCCAGTAGCCTTGACATCTTGTGTAATGAAATGTTTTGAGAGGTATGGTGTCTATTTAAAGACAGAAGTAAACTCAGTACTTGACCCATTACAGTTTGCTTTAGGCAGGGCTGTAGTACAGAAGATGCTGTTAACACTTTCACTAATGTTTTTACTAAACATCTGGAAAGTCCTAAGGCCTATGCACATCTGTTGTTTGTTGATTTTAGTTCAGCTTTTAACAATTAAGCTCCACTTTCTAATTCATAAATTGAAGACAAAGTGTAAACCACCTTTTTAATCAAGTGGTATCTATTATTTTTAACTAAACTGGTTTTAACTAATTGGTTTTATCCTTTTTACATTGTATACTAATGATTGATCCTAATAACTTCATAGTACAATTCGAAAATGTATGAAAATACTGAACCGTCAGTGTGTTTCTCAGAGGTGGCAAGGTTTGTAGAATATTGACATCTTGTGTAATGAAATGTTTTGAGAGGTATGGTGTCTATTTAAAGACAGAAGTAAACTCAGTACTTGACCCATTACAGTTTGCTTTAGGCAGGGCTGTAGTACAGAAGATGCTGTTAACACTTTCACTAATGTTTTTACTAAACATCTGGAAAGTCCTAAGGCCTATGCACATCTGTTGTTTGTTGATTTTAGTTCAGCTTTTAACAATTAAGCTCCACTTTCTAATTCATAAATTGAAGACAAAGTGTAAACCACCTTTTTAATCAAGTGGTATCTATTATTTTTAACTAAACTGGTTTTAACTAATTGGTTTTATCCTTTTTACATTGTATACTAATGATTGATCCTAATAACTTCATAGTAAAATTCTCAGATAACTCGGCTTTTCTATGAAAATGCATGAAAATACTGATCCGTCAGTGTGTTTCTCAGAGGTGGCAAGGTTTGTAGAATATTGTTATTTATGCTGCCTTCACATGCTATCAGAAATTTCCTACTTTCCAATTCTGAAGTCGTAATTATGAGTTTGTCATGTTCAAGTGTTTTATTGTCAGAAAGAGTATGAATCATATAGAGGACACCATGCTCATTCTCGCCTATTTCTTGGGGAAATCTTATTAAAGGGATAATTCACCCAAAATGAAAATTTGCTGTTAATTTACTCACCCTCAGGACAAGATGTAGGTGACTATTTTTTATTTTTTTCTTCAGTAGAACAGTAAAGAGACTTTTAGTTGAAACCGTGGCTCTTGGTGATTCATAAAATGCACGTCAATGGGTACCGGCACTTTAAGAGTCAAAAAAAGCACATACGGGCAACACAAAATTAATACCCGTAAGCTAATCATGGCCTTCCATGTGGAGGACAATGGTTCGAATCCCGGCTGAGACGCTGAAGCAGGTCTCCGGAAGATCAGGTGAGACCGAGGAGCATCACTTCCCAGTGGAAGAGAGCCAGCGGATGAACAGCGGAGGAGCAGGGGGCTTTTCAGGAGAAAGAGAGGGTTGAGAAGATGGAAAAAGAGGTGAAATATTTGATGCTTAACCACTGCTGGTCATTTTGATGGTTGAGATTTCTCTTTCTGTGCTTTCGCAGTACACCTCTCGTCTGCTGAGGCCTATCTTCTCTTCTGTTCTCCCGTCTCCGCCATTGTTCCCCTCGTTCATGTGTCCTTTCCTGCTTCTACCGTGTCTAGGTGGGATTCGAACAAGCGTCCTTCCGTTCAGGTAGAACATGCTCTTACCACTGAGCCACTGGCACCTCCACATTAACAATACTTTTTTTTGGAGTGTTGTCTTTTTTAATTGGTCAAAAATTAAAGTTAAATTTTTGCAGGAGTGAGATTTGAACCCGGGTTCCCACATGAAGGCGCAATGCTCAGACCGCTGAGCTACTGGGGATCTTTTGAGTTTTGAGTCCTGTCTTTCTTTTGAAGTGTTTTTCTGCTATGCACAAGCCTTTGGCAACCAGTCAGCAGAGGTCACTGACAGGTCTAGAGCACATACTCTTGAGATCTAATGTTTGTTCATTTTGCTTGCATGTGAATTGAACTCATGGCCTTGATCAGGTTAGCTACAAGAACACATGGCAGAGGACAGGCAGTTGAACATTTCAACCCTAGAGAACCTCCAAGACCACAAGAGACTGAACTTCACAAGTGCAAGTTGATTGTTCAGTTAGTGAGTTTTTAATCGAAAACTACCACATACATCCTGGCATCAACTAACCCAGCTTAGCTTTGCAGAATGTTTCATCATGAGACTAACAGCTTATTTATTTAGTATATGATGTTCATTGTCACTCTGTTTATGATTTGAGACGCAGGTGAACTCTATGTCTGTTATGAACACAAACACCCAAAAGATTACTAAACTAAACCGTCTATTAATGCTTTGAGAAAATACTTGTCTTCCAATTTAAAGTGTTTATTACAACAGTGACAAACTACTTTCACACTATAGCATCATTCAAACATGAAAATGAGATTGAAAATTCATAGTAATTTCCAGCAGAGACATACACATTTTTGATTATGTAACTTTTATTAAAAGTACAAAACATATTCAAGCAGTTTAGAAAAGACATGCAAGGCAAGTTTACTTATATAGCACATTTCACACACAAAGGGAATTCAAAGTGCTTTACATAAACATGATACATAAACAGTAGTCATAAAAACATGAAAATATAGACAACAGTAACACCGTCTATTAATGCTTTGAGAAAATACTTGTCTTCCAATTTAAAGTGTTTATTACAACAGTGACAAACTACTTTCACACTATAGCATCATTCAAACATGAAAATGAGATTGAAAATTCATAGTAATTTCTAGCAGAGACATACACATTTTTGATTATGTAACTTTTATTAAAAGTACAAAACATATTCAAGCAGTTGAGAAAAGACATGCAAGGCAAGTTTACTTATATAGCACATTTCATACACAAAGGGAATTCAAAGTGCTTTACATAAACATGATACAAAAACAGTAGTCATAAAAACATGAAAATATAGACAACAGTAACGACTGTAATAGGCAAAGTATAATGGAACATTTTCAATGATTGTGAGTGAAGTTTATGCCACGTGCATTTGTTTTTACTTTTATTCAGAGCTGCCATCTGGTGGTCATAATAAGACAATATCATTTTTATTATAGAAATACACTATAGAAAACGTCCTGTTGCAAAAAAATAAAACAACAACAAAAAACAACGTTTGAATGCAGATCCATGTGTGAGATGACATTAAAATAAATATATCAGAATAAAATAAACATTGTTATAATAGTGTTTTATAATTAATATATATCGATACAACTTAAATAGTACCTTGTATATTACTTATAATAGTGCTTTACAATATTATTACAATATATATATTGTAATAATATTGTGCACAACCTGTCACGCCCACTGGAGTCTCGTCAATAAGTCATAGTTGATGGCTCTAAAGTAAACTAACCCTGAAACAACCAGCACAAATACATACTTTGGTCTTTTAACTTAAACTTACTTAACTGCCAAGGCAACATTTATATAATCTTATATCATTAAAGATAATAAATCACTATACAAGTTACTTTTAAAAAATGCAATTACCGTTTGTATAAATGTCTCAAATAAAAAATAAATAAATGGCGTATGAGTATCTTTAACTTACTCGGAGCTGCCATGTGGTGGTCGTATAAGTGAACTTACCTTGTTTTAGTATTATTTACATCCAATAATGATGACTGTTCACTAGGGTTTCTAAATATGTCTGCCAGATATTCCATGTATTTTCTCAATTAAAATATTAAGTAATAGTTTTAGATCAATCATGCCACACTGCATGTTTGCAAAAACATCGAATAAATGTCACATAAATACAAATTTGGCGTATGTGTGTTTTTCACTTTGACTCAGAGCTGGCATCTGCTGGTCATATAAGTGAGTTGAATCATGTAGTTTGACATTTCGCCACAAGACGGCGTAAAAATGAGAAGATCAAGCGGTGGATGGGCTGAAACCAATTCTCCATGTGACCTAAATTATCCACACAAAAAAAGGAAATAATTATTAGTCTGTGCCGGAAGCACGTTGCATGACGTAAGCGTTCTTCTGTCCAATCGGAACGCGTCTTTTTGACAGCGTCACCCAAACAGCATGGCGGCGTCCGTACAGCGTTTCGGCGCAGCAGGGAGACACTTTATAAAGAATTTATTGAACCCAAGAACCTTTAACAGGGTAAGAGATTACAAACACATGATTAATATAATTTAGAACTGCCAAAATATCGAAAACAAAGTCCTGGCAATCATTTAAAACAGTCGGGTTGAGACTGGCGTGGCTGCTGGTCCCAGTGATGCAAACGTACATCATAATACGACATTGCTTTGCGAAAACATTTAATTTATTATTACTCGAAATCATTTTGATATTTACCTTTTATATCCTGCTGAGTGAATCATGGTTATATTGCATGATTTAAGGCGTGTTGTCTGTATTTCAGACCAGATCCACTCAGGCTGTCAGTCAGGTGGATTTAAATGTACCTGAGACGAAGGTCACGAACCTTGATAACGGGCTCAGGGTGGCATCTGAAGACTCTGGTCTGATCACATGCACGGTGAGTTCAGCATCAGCTCAGGTGGCTGAGGAATCTGATGATCGAACATTAAAATTAGGGTGACAAATTTATTAGGGTGTTTCTTAAAAAATAGTCTCAAACTGGGATGTGTGTTGAGGGAGTGTCTCCTTATGACTTGTTTTTGTGGGAGGTTCCCACACGCCCATGTCTGAAATTATGATAAGAACTACTACAGACCCAAAGGATTAGGTTTATTTCATGAGGAAATATTAAAAGGCATTTTTTTATTGCATATCACAGCAGTCACATCTTAATACACCAAGTGTTTTAAATCTCTTTTTGTGACAAATCAAGTGCAAATTAATAACAACAAACAAGTATACGGTGTCTGTATGTGTTCAAATATATGTGAAATTAGAGTTAAGACAACACAACATTGCAGCATAACCCAATAAAATATAATTAGACATTTTTACAAGCTTTGTATCAAAATGTGATATGCAATGTATAATGGACAATCAACAATGAACTTTCACCTTCTTCCCTGTGGCATTTTAGTATTATTTATATCCTATTATAGTTAATCAGTATTTTGAATTGGCTTTTATTTTTATATTTTTATTTTTTATTTTTGTAGTAATTTTTTATTCTTTTAAAAATATTTCTATTTATGCTAAATTTATTTTTATTATTTCACTTTTAGTTTTAATTTATTTCCAGTTAGTTAGTCATTTTGGTGTTTTAACTCAAACTTAGTTGCCAAGACAACATTTCTATTTTCCCTTTACTTTTCATTTAATTTAATTTCAGCCTTTTTAAATTAACAAAATATTTTAATAGTTTTAAACATTGTTGAAAATGCATTTTCATTAGAGCATTTGTATCAAAAATGATACCTGAAACGATAGTAGATACACTTAAATGAGTAGATGTAAAGATTTTTATTTTAATTACAGAATACAACTTGCAGTGAAATGTAAACCTTGTTAGCTACCTAGACGGTGCATTAAATATATAAATAGTCAATATAAAAATTTACTAATAATGATAATAATAATGAAAAATTAGTAATAATAATAACAGAAAAGCCATAAAGTACTACGCTAAAGCTTTCTCCAAAGATCTGCCCAGAGGTAAACCATCAAACACAATCTCATCATGACGGGCAGAGCGGCATTATGGGCGTGCTGTAAATGCGTCTCTGTTGGCAGCGGTGGAAATCCTTGCGGACATCATTCAGAACAGCACGCTGGGAGAGGCCGAGATCGAGCGCGAGCGTGGCGTCATTCTCCGAGAGATGCAGGAAGTGGAGACCAACCTGCAGGAAGTGGTCTTCGATTACCTGCACGCTACAGCCTATCAGGAAACACCTCTCGGGAGAACCATCCTGGGGCCTACGGAGAACATCAAGTATGTGTCACTCGTTTACAGTCCAACTGTCCTCAGTTTAAGACACCAGAGATTAAAAATAATAATAAATGTGACCCTGGACCACAAAACTCAAATTTGTCAAAATTGAGATTTATACATCATCTGAAGGCTGAATAATTAAGCTTTCCATTGATGTATGGTTTGTTAGGATAGGACAATATTTGGCCGAGATACAACTATTTGAAAATCTGGAAGCTGAGGGTGCAAAAAAATCAAAATATTGAGAAAATCGCCTTTAAAGTTGTCCAAATGAAGTTCTTAGCAATGCATATTACTAATCAAAAATTAAGTTTTGATATATTTACAGTAGGAAATTTACAAAATATCTAAATGGAACATGATCTTTACTTAATATCATAATGATTTTTGGCATAAAAGAAAAATAAATAATTTTGACCCTTACAATGTATTTTTGGCTATTGCTACAAATATACCCCAGCGACTTAAGACTGCTTTTGTGCTCCAGGGTCACAAATGATTAATCACAGTACATTAGGACAGTTGTTTTGTATCACTAGCTTACAAGTTTTCAGTAATGTTATTTTAAATATGCAAATGATGCTAATTAAAGATGCACTAATTTACATACTTTTCACTAACAAAGCCAGGTTCAAAATTCTTGTCATTTTGTTGTTATTAAAGGTTGGATGTTGTGCTTTTGTTCATTTTATTAGCTTTTTTTTTTTATTTATGCTTACATTTAATTTATTTTTATTAGATTTTTTTATTTATTTCTAGTTATTTCAGTTCCATACAACATTTCTAATTTTCATTTAGGTTTTTAATTTCCGAATTTTCAGTTAACAAAAATGTCAATAGTTTTAGTTTTTGTAAATGATAATAACCGTTTCATTAGAGCAACTCTTTTTACATAACACATTTAAATTTTTTAAACATTCAAAATTACGTTTAATTTATTTCTGTTTCAGTTTTTGATTTATTTCCAGTTAGTCATTTTGGTGCTTTAACTAAAACAAATGTTTTAATGATTTTAGTTGATGATAATAACCCTGCTTCTTACCGCTCATTGTTGAAAATGCATTTTCAATTATCAATGCGATTTTGGATTTCTCTTTTTTTTAATCACTCCATAAATCAGAAAATACTGTCAACAGCCTGAAAAAAAATACAATTTGTGACCCTGCCTGTGAAAACCCAGCTAAAGTCATTTTTTTGTGATTTACGGTTTTCTACATAAAATAACCCTTCAAAAAGATGTAGAACTTTCTGTGAAAATATAACCTTTATATCTTTAATATTGACTGAGTAAGGCCATGTCAAAGATTGGAATCATAGTGAAATTTAACTGTGATGCTTGTTATCTCATAATTAGATTGAGACTTTAGCCTGGATTTCACAGACAGCGTCACATTTCACCATGTTTTTAGGAATAAAATAAATCAGGCAAATTATATACGAACAAACCCTTTTGCAAAACCCTTCAAAATATAGATAGAAATAAAAATATGTATTGTAACTGAAATCTACAGATGCATATAGATAGTGTAATGAAATAAACACTTAAATGTGTATTTTGTATGTTTGCTTCACTTTAGTCTGAATGTTATGGAAGCAAAATAGCCAAAAAAACTCAAAATTGTGCAGTGCATGAAAAACAGTGCTGTTTGATGTTCTGCAGAACTATAAATCGAGGGGATCTGGTGGAATACATCACAACACACTACAAGGGCCCGAGGATTGTATTAGCTGCAGCCGGAGGTAAAGCAGCATCACTGAACGTGTGCACGTCATGTCCTTTGGTTTAACTGTTAGCTCTGTTACTGGCTCAGAGTTTGACCTTTAATAAACCAGCACTGATTCTCCGTCTTTCAGGCGTGTCGCATAATGAGCTCATCGATTTGGCTAAATATCATTTTGGAAAGCTGCCGGCTAGATACAGCGGAGAGACTTTACTGCCCTGCCATTTCACCGGCAGTGAGGTAAACAGACTTCTTATAATTCATTACACACAGGAATATTTTGGGTTAATGTGACAACCCATCAGTTATGACAGAAAATAATTAGCATTCATTCCTCACTTTGTCAAAATCATGTTGACAGTAATGCACTTAACATTAGACGTTTCTTAGGCTTCTAATGTAAGTGTAGTATTGTAAATGCAATTCGATTCTCTTTACGAACTGAGGGACTATTATTAAAGTGCCCATATTATTTTCGTCATCTGCCAGAATACATTTACATGATTAAAAGTTCAAAATAATTTTTTAATACTGTACATTGTTGCAGTACCTCTTTTCAAAGCTGTTTTAGTTCCTGTTTCTTTAAACCCAGCCTTTCTGAAAAGCCAAGTCAATTTATTTTTATTTTAGTTAGTTTTTATTCCATTTAGTAATTTTAGTGCTTAAACTTAATTCATTTAGTTGCTAAGGCAACATTTCTCATTAAGTTTTCCATCTAATAATTATTTTATTGTAGCCTTAATTCAATTAACAAATGTTTTTCATAGTTTTGTTAATGATGATGATCCAACTTTCTTATAGCTTGTTGCTGAAAATGCTTGTTCATTAGAGCAAGTTACAAGTTTTCTGAAATTTTATGTTTAATATATAAAAACGGCATTATATAATTATTATATGCACTAATTTTCATATATTTCCAGAACATAAATCTGAACATTGAATGAAACCAGGTTCAAATTCTTTTGTTTACATTTTTTTATGATGTGCTTTTGTTAATTTAATTAGTTTTTGATGTTTAAAAATATTACTATTTACGTTTATTTTCATGAATAAACAGAAATAATGGCAGGACTACAAACGAGGCGTTTAAGGCAGCTGAACTCATGCACAAACACACTAAATAAGCAGAACTTACCTGGAGTTGTGCTCATTAATTCCTCACAGATCCGCGTGCGAGATGATAAGATGCCTCTGGCTCATATAGCCATCGCCGTGGAGGCCGTCGGCTGGTCGCATCCAGACACTATCCCGCTCATGGTGGCCAACACGCTCATCGGGAACTGGGATCGCTCGCTCGGTGGCGGGATGGTAGGAGGCACTTTCACTAAACCGTTACGCTGAAAAAGACCCGAAACACAACTAACCGCACCTTGTTTTCCGTCAGAACTTGTCCGGTAAGCTGGCCCAGATGGCGTGTCAGGGGAACCTGTGCCACAGCTTCCAGTCCTTCAACACCTGCTACACCGACACGGGCCTGTGGGGGCTTTACATGGTGTGCGAACCGGGAACCGTCAGCGACATGATGCGCTTCACGCAGCTGGAATGGTGAGAGCTCCACGTTCACTGGGCTTTCTGTCGAGCTGAAAGATGAGCAACTAACACCCGGTTTCCTTTAGGATGTCTCTGTGTACGAGCGTGACTGAAAGCGAGGTGAACCGAGCCAAAAACCTGCTGAAGACAAACATGCTGCTTCACCTGGACGGTAAGAACAGCGGCGAGCAATAATTAAAGAAAATTAAATGGGGAACACAATTCGTCAATATGTTCTCTGAGTGGAATGTTTCTCTTGGAACTTCCAAGAGATCTCTATTACTTTATTAATTTTACAGACTTGACGAATAGAAATAACTAGAATATGGAAATAATGTTTACTTTAACTTCTGATCACACTGCAAAAAAATGTTTTTGTCTTGTTTTCCAGTGCAAATGTCTACATTTTCTTAAAGATAGATGCAAAAATTATATTTAGGAAGTGTCGTTTTCTGAGAAATGTATCAAAATGTCTTTTTTTTTTTTTTCATAAAGGTCAAATATCTGCCAATGGAGTCAACTTGATTCAAGGAAAACAAGTTTTTATACCCCATTGACAGATGTTTGTTCTTGTTTTAAGCATAAACTCACTAAATTGTAATTTCTCAAAAAACAACACTTCATATCTTCGTTTGCATCTCAAGTAAATGTATCTTGATTTAAGGATGTTTAGATACTTGTACTGGAAAACAAGACAAAAATACTGACAAAGATATTCATTTTCTGCAGTGCGTGCAACATTTAATGCTGTAACGTTACAAATGTAAGACTTTATTTTGTGGAAGGGCGATTTAAGACTTTTTAAGACCCACAGAAACCCTGAATAAAGTGATCAGTTTTGGCGTGTTTGTGGTGTCTAGGATCCACTCCCATCTGTGAGGACATCGGCCGGCAGATGCTGTGTTACAGCCGCAGGATTCCTCTGCACGAGCTGGAGGCCAGAATAGATGTGAGTAAATGTACATGCTGACCTTTGACCTGACATCTGACCCATTCAAGTGCTTTTCTAGCCTTATCCAGACACGAGCTGTTTATCATGGGGACGACTGTAAAAATACGATTGCTTAAAATTCATGCATTCAGTTTATTCACGGTGGACAAGCGAGTTTTATGATCCTGCAAACACGGGAATGTGTTTATTACATGGTCTGACTGTGATCTGCAAACAGAATGTCTGTTATTGCTTGGACAATTAATTATAATTAATTATTATTTAACAATAGGAAAATAATATTCTATTATTTGATTTAAATATACTGTTCAAAAATAGGAAACTGACTTCGGTTTAATTGTCTTGCATTTTCTCTCAAAATGATGGATGTTATTATAAAAATGTGGAATTTAGCAGAAATAAGTTAGTAAATAAGAGTTAAAAAAGTCTATTATTGCTTGTACAGTAACATTTATATTTAATTTAACAATAGAAAAATAATATCCTGTTTATCATTTAAATATTCCTTTTAATTTTTCTATTAAAAATAGGGGAAATTACATGCTATTATTTAAATGGTTTTCTGTCTTTTCTCTCAAAATGAAGTGTTATTTTAAAAATATAAAAAATTAGCAGAAATAAGTAAATGCAAACTCTTATTTACATGAAGTATATGACCCAGCTACTTTTTCTCCTCGTATAATTGGTTATGCAGGACTTAATATAAATATTTCTAAATTTTTGCTTACCATAATAGTGATATTTATTCAAATGCTTATGTTTTTTTTCTTAAAAGCTCCCACTTACTGTAGTGACAGTATTATTCGTGTAAACAGTGTTCGTATTTAAAAAAAAACAAAAAAACAGTGTTATTTGGTCAGGAATTTTTATGTGGGCGGTGGAAGGAAAAACACTGTCATTTGGGATTCGGACAGCAATTAAAAAATCAAATCAAATAAATAAATCACAGACTCGCCTGAAATGACCTTCCATCCCTGTGAGAAACTATTAGCGTGTGAACAGGGCTTTAGTCTCAATTCTGCTTCTCCTCCTCTCAGGCCATAGACGCCACAACCATCAAAGACGTGTGTATGAAATACATCTATAATAAAGCTCCTGCTATAGCAGCTGTTGGTGAGTATTCATATTTTCTCTATAATATCTGATATTTTCCCAGCTCTGGTCCTGGAGGGTCTTCATAACCAAACACACCCGATTAAACTCATCAGCTGGTTAGTAGACACTCCAGGACCCGAAAGAGAGCAGAGAGATGGGAAACGCTGCTTTCAGTGCCTGATAAGCAAATACTTGATGTTTGCAGGTCCGATCGAGCAGCTCCCGGACTATAACAGCATCCGCGGCGGCATGCATTGGTTTCGGCCGTGAGGAAGTGAAGCAGCACAGCGTCTGCGCATTAACAGTCACAAAAACAAGAGAATTTAAGATGTGCTTTTTCATGTTTATTTTATTATAAAATAAAGAACACAATAAAGTTAAAAGACCATGTTTGTGTGCGTTTTCTTTCCCTGCAGCACTTTTGTCATTTCTTGTTTTTAGCAGTGACCTGCTCCTGGGCGGCTTTCTTAGCCTTTATCATCTCCACCAGCTCCTGCAGAAACACAGAGAGAGAAGCACATCAACATCTGCACATAGAGATCAGCATTTACATTATAATAAGTGTGTGTTACACACAATGTTATAAGATATTTTATTTTATTAATAATTATTACTATTAATGTTATTAATTAATAACAATAAACAATAATAATTACTATTAAAAAGTTTTTTATTAATTAAATGGCACCTTCTAAATCTACATTATTAATCAGCATGCATTATAATAAGAGTGTTACAGACAAAATTGATTATAATTAAGATTAAATTTATTATTATTACTACAACCATTTAATAAATGCATTTTTGTAATTACATGGCACCTCGTTTAATTCTACATTAATCATATTATAATAAAAGTGTAATTACTAATTACTTAATAATAATTGTTAATTTTTTCTCTAAATAATAATTTGTATTATTATTTAGAAAATATTTTATTAATAATTACTTTGCATCTTATTCTAATTCTAATTTAATAATTTATTTCTGTGTAATAATACTTTGGCAATTAGCTTGCATTATAATAAAAGTGTTATAATAATTATTATTATTATAATATCCATAAGTAATAGTTATTTTTAATTGTACTAAATTATGATTATCGTTGTTAGTATTATTATTATAATTATTATTATTACTAATTTAATAGTTTTATAATAAAGATCTTGTATACTTGGCACCTTATTCTAATTCTAACTTATTAATATTTGTTTTTGCTTATTTCTTTGTTCTGTGTATTAATTCTTGGGCAATGCTGTATGTTGACAGTTATGCCAAAATAGTACTTTGAATTAAGGGGGGGAAAAAAAACAACGTTTTTTTTGTAGGCCTGGGCGATAAAATGGTATCGATATTTATCGACGGTACACCTTCTTTGATAACGATATATAAAATGTTCGATATCGTGCATGATATATGAGTGACGCAGACAGCACACACAAACACGAACACATGCTGAATTGAGTGCAGTGCCTGCGATGAGGCGATTGTGAATAAAGAATGAATATTAGTCGAATCTAAAATAAACATTTGCATTTGAATGTTAGGAGTGCGTCACAGTTAAAACAGTTTAAACTTTTAGAAAACACGTCACGAATTTGTGGAGGTTTATTCCGTTTTACTGCGTCTCATATGTTTTTAAAGGCAATCTTCGTGATGGGCGCTTTGGCTCTTTGGATTAAGCAATGCATAAATACATGATTCTGTTTTGTTCATAATTGTTTATGCAATTTACGAAATTATATTTGATTTTTATGAGTTAATTTAGACGTAATGCATGTTTTTTTTATAGAGTTACTTCCATGCGTTGACAATTTAAATGTGTTGCATTATTTTGCTCATTGCGCCCTCCTGTGGCCTCGGGAGACAAGACAAAAGTTTCCTTAAAACCTATTTAATCTGCATTTAAAACGAATTAGATATGTTTAATTTTTATTTTGTGTTTGATTGTTAAAACAAAAATATTTGTTGTTTGTCTCAATAAATTGGGTTAATTTAAAAATACAGTGGTTAAATTTAAAAAAGTTTTAAAAAAGGTTATAAAAAATGTCAATAATTATCGATACCAAACGATATGAAACATTATATCGTTGATAAATTTTTTAGCTATATCGCCCAGCCCTAGTTTTTTTTGTGTTGCACAACCCTGTCAGTTTTTGATGAATGATGCAGAAGCTCAACCGGAGCCGCTCACCTTGTATCTCTTCATGCAGTCTTTCTTGGAGCGTCCGGGCACGGCGTCAGAGATCTTCTCCCAGCGCTCCGCCGTGTTCACCGGGTACGTCTTCAACGCCTGCTCCAGAAGCTTCTGCTCCTCTGTGGTCCAGGGGGAGGAGTTGGATTCAGCGCCTACAGCTGGAGGAAACGATTATGTTCAGAATGGGACTGTTTTTGCAGCACGTATACTGTGATGACTCGTAGGGCTGCACTGCTGCAGGATAAATCATATTTTAATCATGATCACCATTTATGCTTCTCTCGATTTAAGCGTAATCATTTGCATTTTGCATTGGTAAGAACGAAGCCTCCACAAGCTTTCATGGCTGCGGTTGCCAGATGCCAAGAGTTTAAATCCCCCAATCAGAGCTTTTTTCATAAATCAATAGATTTTCTGCCCAGTGGTTTAATCTTTACTTAAATTTTTTTTTTTTTTTTACAAAATAATCATGATTATTAATTAGCCTGCATTATAAGTGTGACAGACATTATAATATTAATAATAATTTAAGCATTTAGCAGACGCTTTTATCCAAAGCGACTTTCAGGCTATACATTTTTTACCAGTATGTGTGTTCTCTGGGAATTGAACCCACGACCTTTTGCGCTGCTAACGCAATGCTCTACCACTGAGCCACAGGAACATTATTATTATATAATAATATTATTATTAGGAATATTATTATAATTAAGATATATATATTTAACAATCTTATTTTATTAATTACTTGGCACTTAATTCTAATTCGACCTCGTTAATAAAAGTGTGTGCCAAAGACATTATAATATTATTATTATTTAGGTATTTTTAATTTATTATTAATATTGATTATTTATAAAAAACATTTTAATTACGTGGCACCTTATTGTGTGATATGGATATATTAATAATTATAATTAAAATCAGTATAATTAATATTCATAATTTGTAATTGTTATTATTATTATTAATTATTAAAAATGTTATTTTAATAATTACTTGGCACCTTTTTCTAATTCCACCTTACTAATCAGCTTGAATTACAATAAAAGTGTGTGTTACAGATATTATAAGTATTATAAAATAATTATAATTATTAATAAAAATTACAATAATGTATAATACAATATTTTGAAAATATTATTATTTCTAAAAAAATCTTAGTTTATTGATTACTCTATTCTAATTCTACATTAATATTTGTTCTTGACAGGGTTTCTGCAGGATTTTTAAGCTCAAAAAAGGTCTTAAATTTAAGAATTTAAGACCTTTTTTTGAGCTTAAAAATCCTGCAGAAACCCTGTACAAATAAAATTAATACCATATGAGCGGGGTAGGGCAATGTCTTTAGTAACATATTAAACTGTAAAATGACTGTAAAAAGCATGATTTACAGTTCAGATACAAGTTTTCACAAAAACAAAGTTTTATTAAATGATACACTTCACATTTCAGCCTTTAAACTATTTTAAAGGGGTGGTTCACTGAGTTTTTTCTAGGCTTGATTGTGTTTATGGGGTGCAGTCTAACGTGTTAATGCCTCGTTAAAAAAAAACAAAAAAAACGCATTCTTTTTCACATAATTTACCTTTATTCCACACCGCTCTGTCCCTTTTTTCCCGGGGGCGGGGTTTATCTGGATTTGTTACGTCACAAACCCGTAACTTGTTGGTAGTCCCTACCAGCCATTTTTGTAGGCATTAAACTGCCAGAATTTTAAAAAGACGGTATCTCCGTTTGCATTGAACTTTCAGCTTCGTAACTTTGCAGATATTGTTTATGCTCAAACAGCAACATTACACACTAACTAATGTTAAAAAAGTGAAATCGCAATGAACCACCCTTTAAATAAAATGGATGAGTCAAAAGTATTAATTATGTTAATTTAAACAATTATCAATAAATTATTTTAATTAAATAACACAAATACATTTTACTGTTTAGATTTTTATAATGAATTTATAACGAATATAGATATAGATATATAGAATATATTGAAATAAATTAGATTAAGTATTTCAAGAAGGTTAGGACAATAATTAGTGTATACAATTAAACGACTACATAATTTCTTAAAAATAATAATATACAGAATTGAATAGCAAGTGCTATAAAAATAGTATGAACTGCTAATACATAAATACAAAAACAAACAAAAAATCATAATAAATAAAAAAAACTAGGGTCCTGAAACTGCAGCCTCGGGTATTGCAGGAATACCCTACTCCAATAAAACAGGCTTATTGAAAATGCACATTCATTCTTTGCCAGCAGGAGGCGTTTTCGGAACGGCAGAAATAGAACCGTTTCCCCGGTAACAGCAGAACACACAGCAGCAGCACCTGACTCTGAAAGGCTCAGCGCTCGTGTTTATTTCATGAAATCATCGCCTTTTGAAGTTTAATCGTCACATTAAGACTTACAGCAATTCTGGTCTTTCTGTCCCCAAATTTAAGACCTCCTAAAATCATAATTAAGACTTTCTTGTACAATTTAAGACTTTTTATGGCCTTAAATTTGATACAACTAAATGTAAGACTTTTTAAGACTTTTAAGGACCTGCGGAAACCCTGCTAGATGTATTCATTTATTAATTAACAATATTAAAATATTAATTATTGTCATTATTTGTACGGTGTAATAATGCTTTGGCAATCAGCTTGCATTATAATAAGAGTGTTTTATGGATATTTTAATTGTAATTATAATTAATATTAAGATATTTAAAAATGATTAATAATAATAATAATAAATATAGTAGTAATAATAATAATAGTGGTAAATAATAAGATTGTTTTCTTTTTTAATCATTATTATTAATGTTGTGTTTGTTGTTATAATAATTATTATTATTGTATAAGTAGAAAACTAAATCTTATTATTTACTACCTTATTATTCTAATTCTACCATATCAATATTCATGATTAACCGTTTAACCATTATCGTGCAACTTACCATCAAACCTCTCTGATGGCACAGCGTTGTCTACAGTCTGAGGAACAACTGAATGCTCCTTCTTGAACTTCTCAAAGGCCTTTCGGTTAATCTCATCTTTCTGGTGAGGATCTGCCATCAAGAAAAGCGAATTAG